AGACAGTCATGTGGAAATAATGCAGAAGGCTATAGCTCAGCCACTAGCATAGCTCTGGTTACTTGCATGTCTCAGAACAATTCCCTTACATTTTTATGAGAAAAGGTGTAATGCTGCTTAGAAGCAAAGGGTAGGTGGTAAAAAAGGTCTTGAGCTGATTGAGACAGACTTAGACTGGTTCTTCCACCTTCTGCACAGATGCTAGCACCTCCACGTGCCATCTAGGTCAAAATTTGGCAGCAAGGGTTGAACAGCAGAGTGCAAGATGTAAGCTGAGCTGTTCCTTCTGACAGATACGCAGAAAGCTGCTGTTAGTAAGGGATAACTGAAATACCCAAGTCGCTTGTACAGTGGTTGTCATCTGGCACAGTAGGTGTATGTGTATACCCGTATGTTCACTGTGTGGGGGTGTGCGATTGTGATATACCTATTCTTAAGAAAACACTTTGGTTGTTATCTTCTGTCTTTTATTGGGTGTGACTACAATTTTCAAGGCAGAAACTTCTTACCTGTCCTCTTGCCTTCCAGTCTTAGTGATGTCAGCACATACAGTGGATAACCTGGGCAAGGGGAGGGAGCGTTGTTTACAGGTGTTGATGTCAGCACAGGGGACAGGCAGTGTATTTAATTGACAGTGTTCAGCTCAATTTCCCAAGTAAAATCACTTCTTTTTATGCTCCGAAGGATGTCACCAGCAGAGAAATGTTTGATCACTGTGGAAAGATTTTGAAAAATGTGTTTTTGTTGGCAGCGCACACTCCCATGACTTCCAGACTCTGGACTCTATTCAGTAATCCAGACGACTGATGATTGAGTTAGTTGCTTTTTACTTTGTGCGGTAGATAAATGTTTGCCATAATTGTACTTTGAACTTAAGCTACAAAGCTGCTGATGTCCAAGCGTGTTCCATGTAGAACATCAGTCCCAGGTTGGGAAGGAATAGCATTGCATACATTTTATAGTGGGAAAAATTAATATGATGGCTATTGCATGAGTATTTTTAGTAAGGCTGGGAGCAGAACCCAGTCCTTTTTAGTCCCCATCCTCTAAACGTTAAGCCACACTGCCTCTGGAGAATCATCTATGTTAGTCAGGGATGCTGCATTTTAGAAGCTGCAACCTTTCTGGTAAGTATGTTGTGTCTCCCACCCAACAATGGCCAGAGGTTGATCTTATCACTGCAAAGCAACAGTATTTGTGTTTGGTTTGTTCTAGTTGTCTCTCCAGACACAGAGATATGGTTCCTGGACAGAGCTCTGTACTGGCATTTCCTCACCAAAACCTTCACAGCCTACTACCGCCTGCTCATTACCCACCTGGGTCTCCCACAGTGGCAGTACGCCTTCACCAGCTATGGGGTCAGCCCCCAGGCCAAGGTAGGACAGCAGGATCCAGCTCATCAATGTTTCACATAAGTATAGACTGGAAAAACATCTTCCCTCCTTTTGGCAAGCAGCCTGTAAGCTCAAGTGGGCCTCCCTAGTGAGCCATGGAAGGGGGTGTGAATCTTTCCCCTATACCATGTTAACAGTCATTTGTTTGTGTTAGTGAATTCATGAACATGTGTTAACCCTGCTTTTCTCACCTGAGTTTGGCTCTACCTTTGACCTCTAATACCAGGTGGTAGAACCCCCATTATTTCTGTGCTTTCTTGACTCTGAAGCCAACCTCCACTTCCATGACTGCTGTCAAGTGGGGAGATGTAAAGCCATTCATCCCCACAGCTACAAAAGATTTGTCCGGATCAGTTTTCTGGGCATAGCACTGACCATGAGCCCACTGCTCTCTGGGTGGAGAAGAAAGTCTGGGTACCTGTTAGACAGAAGTCCAGAGGAAGACTATCAGCATAAACTTTGCCAAGAATATGAATTCCTTTGCATCCTCCTCAGTCATGAAGGGATGCCTTGATAAAAATGATGCTCCAGAAGAGGCAATTTAAATGCCAGCAGTCCTAGAAGTGTTTAGATGAGAGCTCCAGGTACAGCCTCATGACCATTTCAGCCCCTTATTGTTACTAAAATTGCTGTTCTGCTCTGCCAGAACCCAGTAGTTGGAGGCTCCTGCCATTCCTCTGTGCTTGACTGGGCCTTCAGCCCTAACCCTGCTTCTACCTTGTGAGAGGTCAGGGAATGGATCTGACAATGCTACCGAACACAGCACATAAGCCTGAGCAATGTCTGTGCATGTTGGCTTGGCCTGGAGGGTCTCAGTCAGCCCCCTGCACTTTGTGACAGCTGTCTTAGCAGCATGACATTCCTTGGTCCTGCCTCAGCCCTGTGCGTACATCAGAACCACTCACTAAAATCACTGCTGACTTCCCATCTATCAATGGCTGTAGAATTTGGCTTTTTGTATTTCTGGTGTCTTTTCTGTTGTACCGTGCTGTACTTTTATCTGTCAAGACTGTGTACATGGTACACTAGCATATGCCTCTGCTCTGCCTTTCTGTAATTTTCCTGCCAGAATATTTTATTATGTTCAGCATATTCACAAACCCTAGTTTCATATATTCCCTAATCATTTGCAGCCTCTGTTAGTTAAAATCCTCCTAGTGTGTTAACCATTATCATTTTTAAAGGTCTTCAAGGGTGGTATCTTAAAGCTGTTTTCCATTAAGCGGTACATGAATAGATCGCCGTCTACGTTTCAGTATTGGTCTTTTGTTTATCTTGTTCAACACTTTGCTGATCATTTATGTGGGATTTGTAATACCATAACCCCTACAGTTTTATTTCCTGACTTTGTCAATGGAAAACTGATAGGAAAAACACCCAGAGATGAGAACTGCAGGGCACAACATTGTGGTGGCATCTAGGAGCCAAAAAAAAAATCGTTGCAGTCACCTCTAGGTATAAAGTTAGGCTGAAGAGAAACAAACACAAAATCCTTTGTGTAAAGAGTTAAAAAACCTGCATTATTGTATGTGTGAAGAGAGGGAGAAGACTATATTTTGAGAAGTTCAACTAGTTTGGTTCCAATTTATAAGCACTTTTAAATTCCAAGGTTTTTTAATCTTTTCTGCTTCTCTGAATCTAAATAAGTTTAGTTTCATCCCCTCCCTTTGCTTTTCCTCCTGTGATTTAAATCAGGAGTTGCTCCTGATAGGAGTTACACTGCAGGGAAGGTACTATTAGGCTTGTGTCTGGTTCTTCTCTTCCCTGTCTGGAATGTGGAGCAGCTCCAGGACCGTAGCTGTAGCTGTGCCTTGTGTATCCTTATCACAAGGCACTCTGTGCAGTCCTGTAAACTGCAAACTGGTATGGTTAAAATCAGGTGTCAGGGGTGAGGGGGAACAGGGTGGAAAAGTCTAATTGCAGTTTGATTTTAATCTTTTCCTTCCCCACCATCCTGCCTTTCAGCAATGGTTTAACATGTATAAACCCATAACCATCAACACAGCTCTCTTCTCTGAAGAAGCCGATTCCTTTGTGAACAAGCTGGACCCCAATAAGGTGTTTAAAAACAAGAACGAAACTCCAGTGATCAAAAAGAAACCACCCTCCCAGCCAGCAGGCTCCCAAAAGAGTCACACAAGCATGACCTCCTCCAAGACATCCTCAGTAGCTGGGAATTCTTCAAGGAAGTGACACACACACACACACACACACACACACACACGCAGAGATCTGACCCTGGACAGCATTTGCAATAAGCTTTGATGTTCTCTGATGCAGAGTCTCGGTGGTTCAGACCAAGTTCCTTGTGCATGAATGGATGTGCCCATGGAAAACACATTGCAGCATTTGCATGAAATATAGCCACAATGTACTTTGACATGGGGGGGATGTAGCTCCTGGAGACTCTGAGGAAAAAAAAAACCTGAGACATTGATTTTATTCCCTCTGCTACTTGCAGCGTGTACTTTTCAGAGGGCATGAAGAAGCCCTTGATGTCACTGCTCTGTAGGGAAGCTTTTGTTCCTGTGCAACTACCGTGGTGAAATGAAAGCAAATGTAAGTCACCATTACTTTAGTAGACCCATGCTGAAATACAGCATATGAAGGTGTTTCTGCCGTCTCCTTTGAAAGAAACCTGTCCTGACCTTGCATGCTATGGGAGCAGGCTGGAACCCTTTGAACAAAGAAATATCTTCTGCTTCAGACAGAATCACTTCAGATCACCACAATCACCACAGACTTCCCTGTGCTCCTTCCAACTTCTGCTCTGAGATTTGTGGTGCAAAGGCACCTGGGGCTTTCATGTCTCTGCATTGGCCTAGCTGCTTGCTCTACAGCCCAGACCACTTTTTGGCCTTTGTGCCATATCTTTTCAGATAGTGATGTCAGTGATGCCCTTCCCCATAAGCCCGAAGGCAGCCAGAAGCTGCAAGATCCCTCATGGCCTCTGCTTTCTCCTCTTGTGGGAACTGCTGGGCTAGGGCAGGTCAGTGGTGTTCAGAGTCCCATACACCAGGAGGACCCCTTGGTTTGTCACACATTCATTTGCAAAGTTGTCCATTCAAACAGCCTTTGTCACTTTTCAATTGGGCAGGATCTGACCAGGGGCCACTGAGATCCTACAGCCTTTAAAGCCCCTGATGCTGTTTTCTATATTGTAAGTTTTCAGGTTAGAACTGCACTTTAACCCGTTTACCCCTGGTTTGGAGTTACATCCGATTGTTCCCATTACTTTTCTACACCATTCTGCATCTTAGATGTGCTGGAAATACATGGTAGCAACCGACACATTTTATGCCTAAGAAGGGAAATCAAAGTCACCATCTTCAAATAATCATTGATTATTTAAACAGCATCATTTTTATTTATGAAACAGTCACATAATTACATAAGACAAACCTACCTCACAGGGATGTTGTGAGGCTTCCATGAGTATTTGTATGGCCTTCAGAAAGATGAAGCCACCCTGCAAGTGCTTAATAGAATTTTAATAAAGATGTTAGTATTTTCCTCCAGAGTGATTGGGTATTTGAAGATGCTTTTGGGAGCACATGCACGAGGATGTATGGTAAGAGCAGGGTGCAGGCTGGATTGTTTGGGGTTATTTTAATGCAGTGGAAAATCTCTCACTGTGAAGGGACGGGTTACAGTGTCTTTTAGCTAGTCCCATCTTGTACAACTCTGAGGTTACCGCTTTAGTTCACGTAGACCAAAAGACTCAGCCGTGTGACAGCTCTTCCACTTCTGTCCTGCACTCACTCTTCAGAAACTCTGCAGCCATCAGCCCTGGCCCTGGCATGCTGTACTGGCTCCCAGCACTGCCCGGCGCCCACTCTCAAGTGCGGTCACTGCATTGCCTGGCAGCTGCCCTCTGCCACCCCCAAACGAGAGTAAATCCTTTAATGCTCCTCAGCCCTCTTAAGCTGATGTGCGTCTTGTGCTGGGTGAAGATCCACTGTAGCTGGTCTACTAATGCAAGGTCAGCTCTAATGAGGAAGCAGAGATGTCAGTACCTACCACCCCACCCCATGCCACAGTAATACATTAGAAATCCTTTTAATAGTGGGATATGAATGATCATTAAAGCCAGTAAACCACTTTCTGGAAATCTGTGCAGTAGTGATGTTCAGTCACTTCTTGTTCTCGGAGACCCTCTGTTGTGTGTTCATGTTGCCCAGCCCTGGGACTGCAGTCTTGACATACGTACCGTACTTGCTTAAGCACTTTCTAGAAAAGGTAAGACTGTTGTCACCCCCCTGGGAACAGACAGCTTCTGATACTGTTTACTCTTAATCCGATGGTACCTCACACTTGTAAGGCTGTTGCAGGCCCACTATCCTCATTCAGATGGATGTGGCAGAATTCCTGCAGGAGCAGGGCAGCCTCTTCCCACGTTCTCGTGCATTCAGAATGGGAAAAATATTGGGGTTTTTGTTTGAGCATTTGGGGATGCTGTCACAGAAGTTGTCTGAATCCTTTCATATGGTAGTTAATATCTAATCCTGTCAGTAACACACATGGTTCCATGACGCCAACGTGTTCCAGCAGAGCTGTACCAGAGTTCAGGAGACCCTGTAGCATGGTGTACTAATTTTTTGGTGCTTTCTGAATGTTCAGATCAAAAAGCAAAAAACAAGCATGGGAAAAAAAAAATTAGGTTCTGGCTTCTATTTCAGACTGTCCTTGCTCTTCTCTTCTCTGAACTCTGCCAAACTATGTGTTTGTTAGGGTGGCAGATTAGCAAATGAAAGCAAACCCAGGCCTCTGATCCATCAGCGTAGTATCTATCTCTTACCAAAGAATATTCCAGATCAAAATTTCTTTAATTGTTTCTGCCACTGTTGGATCCTGTATTTTGATTTCTATGAACATACCATTATCTGGAGTCTTGCAGCTCTGCTCTTCTCCAGAATTTGATGATTATTTTTTTTTTTTGGTACCTTTTTACACAGAGAGATTGAACAATTTCTTTGGGTCACAGACAGGTCTAGCCTTAGCCAGGTCTGCCCAGTGTCTCAAAAGCCCGGTTTGTCTGGTTAAGAAGAGTAGGTTTATTGAAGACTAGTCTGTCTATTGAAGCTGCGCTTGGGCAGCACCATTGCACATGGTTACCCCTAGCTTGTCAGTCTGTACATCCACATAGGCTTTGCTGTCAGGCCCTTTCCTCAGAGCCTGTGGCCATCACAGCGTAGAAGTCTCCACCACTGGCTGTCCTTTCACATTTCCACTTTCCAGGACAGGTTGGTTGTGAAAATCAATGAAGAGCTTGTGGATTAAAACACCAGCAAGACTTCCCAGAATCGGAGCTGTGACTGGGACCCACCACCAGTAATGTCCAGCCCTAAAATGAAATGCAGAAGAGGCAGCCAGTGAGCCAGACGAACGGCTGCCCGGCCGCCGCACGGCGCAGGGTGAGGTGAGCTGAGCCTGCTGGGGCAGCAGTGAGCTGTGTCAGCAGAGGTGTCTTGTCCCACTTCACATGCTGGGCCCTACAACTGGCTTAGACAAGTTCTCTATCCACCAGCATAATTGCTGGAGGGAGGGTCATTTTCCTCATCACCCTGGGAAAGTGGCTCAGCACTGTCTGCAGGTTTCTTGTTCTCCTACAGAAATAGTCTGTGTGATCCTGATAAATGGTGACTGTCAAACAGACAGACAGGCACACCTTTTCCCTCCCCATTTCCCAATAACATCTGCACCTCTACCAAAATAAATATCTCAAAGATATTTTCCGGAAATTTAATGAAAATGAGCAGTGGGGACAGGAGACTCTGCTAATGCCCAATGCCCTCACCATGGGAAAAGCCATAGCATGGCACCATCTCACCAGATAGCAGAAGGCAGGGTTTCGTCTCCAGATTCAGGCATCTAAGTTTAGGAGAGCCATACAGCAATCCAGCTGTAAGTGCCTGCTTTCAGGAGAGCTGAATTGCTCTCTGGCTCTCCAGTCACTGCAGTAACCAGCTAGATCTCCAGCTAACAGGTAGTCAGTTTGGTGCCCAAATTGAGGTATCTGAACATCAAGATGAGTCCCATGCTGGAGAATTATGTACCCCAGATTTTGTGTACATAATGCACAGGGCTCCTCTATGCACAACCCTTGCTCTTTGAGAATGGAGAATGCACTCTGCAGCGATACCATCACTTGGTCTTCATGACCATTTTACCTTGTGCTTATCTCCTCTCCCTGCGAGCTGAGCATGTGAAAGCAAAACAGGTCACTCACGTGAAGACGTCCATTCCCCAGCCAGCAATTGCTGTGAAGACCCTGGGGGGCAGGTCCCGAGAGGGGTTCATGGCATAGCCTGTGTTCATCCCCATCCCCAGGCCGATGCCCAGGACCAGGATACCCGTGAGCAGAGCCTGCGTGCCTTTTAGTGCTCCATTGTTTTTCTCATCGTGGATAATCAGAATGCCCAGGAGCAACATTATCGTTGCCGTAAACTGCGGAAGCAGGAAAGGGAGAATAAGTCAGAAGAGACAATGGGGAAGGCAGAAGGATCCTGCTCAGCAGAGAGGAAGAGATTTCCCAGAATGGAAGAGCAAGTGAGATTCATGATCTGATCGAGTCAAGAATGTAACCCCGATGTTATTCCCTCCTCACAGGTGGACTGAAGAAAGTCTTCATTCACTTCCCAGCAAAAATGTCTCCACCTCATCACCAAAAATGCTCTAGGACTGATACAAACTTCTTAGCACTGTCCTCTCCCTCCACCTTTCAAGTTAGGGACATGGGTTATTTTAAGTACATTTTGTCTGACAGAGGCAGAGCCATAAAAAACTGCTAACGAGACAAATCTGATCCTCCCTAGAGGAAGTGATGTTTTATATAGCCTGTTGCATTAGCCCTTTCAGGACTAAAAGCAGATACCAGATTCTCATCTGGAAAACTGAATCTCCCGTCTGTGACAGTACATAGCTGGCACTTGTAGATCTACACTGCCCAAGACATCATGAACTGTGGTTTGAACAGAGGTGATGACTCCTGCCTCTCTGCTTCAGAAAATGCAGCTGAAGAGCCTTGGACTGCTTGCAGAGATGCCAGCAAAAGCAGAAACTCTGCAGCTCTTGGCAATGCACTGTCACTGTCATTTGCTTTGCTGTGCAGCGAGGACACTGCATGCTCCACAGGAGGCTGAGTGACCAGGTGCCCACCTGTAGGGTCTCCAGCTCTCACTGTCCTCCTCATGCCCAGGCAAGTGTTTTGTCAGCTCAGAGATGAAAGCACAGGCTTCCTCAGATTTGAATTGGAAGTGAATCTTCCTTCTCCGGTGTCCCAGTGCTCCACATCCCCTGAAGCATCCCCTTCCTATTTCTGGGCATCTAGACATTGTGTTGTATGCTGGGAATCAACCGTACACAGTCTGAATTGGACTGTTCAAACTCTAGAGGTTCGATCCAGACAGGCTGTGTTCACGTGAAGACAGTCTCAGGCCCTCTGTGCCAGTGAGGTGCAGCCAGCAGAGCTGCCTGGGAGCATGGAGCAGGTGTAGGATCCAAAAAGGGGAAGGACAGTTCAGGGAACTGCCCAGAGCCCAGAGGACATAGTTCCTGATACAGCTCAGCTTCTCACTTCCCACTGCTTGGGCAGGGTGTTTGGAGGGCCCTCGGACCAAGCTGCAGAGCAGCCTACAGATGTTACCCTTGAGGCTTGCTCAGCCATCAAGGTGCCTTGGATCCTAACTGTCAGGCATCTGCCTGGATGGTGGGCTCCTTGGAGTAGATGTTGTGATTGTGTCTACGCGTGTAGGGCTGTAGGTCCCCTGTAGCAGATCTGCAGCAGCACCTGATACCACTCACCTTATAGAATCATAGAATGGTTTGGGTTGGAAGGGACCCCTAGAGGTCATCCAGCCCAACCCCCCTGCAGGAGCAGGGACACCTTTAACTCAATCAGGTTGCTCAGAGCCTCGTCCAACCTGGCCTGGAATGTTCCCAGGGATGGGGCCTCCACCACCTCTCTGGGCAACCCGTTCCAGTGTTTCACCACCCTCATTGTAAAGAATTTCTTCCTTATAGCCAGCCTAAATCAACCCTGCTTTAGTTTAAAACCATGACCCCTTGTCCTGTCACAGCTGGCCCTGCTAAAAAGATTGTCCCCATCTTTGCTGTAGGTTCCCTTTAAGTACTGAAAGGCCGCAATCAGGTCTCCCCTCAGCCTTCTCCAAGCACACCACCTCAGTCCCCACTGACCTCTGTGAGGAAGCCCCCCAGAAAGGATACATAGGGAGCGGGGTAAGTGGAGAAGATTGACGCCGTGGCAGTGGGTCCTGTCACTGTAAAGTTCCCCTTGGTGTAGTCGTACAGAGCATCTAGGAGAAATGGGAATCATGGGAGTTAGCACAGAGTTCATCTCACATGGCAGGTACACAAGTCCACCCATTGCAGCCAACACGGACACCAAGGGGAAGAGAGGCAATGGGAGGTGACACACCCTTCACAGGCATGATCTCACCTGTATCTGTCACCTGCAGACTTTGGTCTGAAGTTACTTTCTTACGCCTACCAGCTCCCTGTCCCTGCTCCAGGAGCCTGGGGCGGGCTGGATGCTCTGGATGCACTGGATGCCTCCATCCCTCTGCCCCTCAGAGACTGAGACGTGCTGGAGCCATGCTGGTGGTGAGTCCTCTGCTCACAACTCAAAACCACAGATGACTGCTGTCCTGTTTTGCACAGACCAGCAGAGTCGCCCAGAGCTCCAGCTGTACCTAATACCTGGTAGTCCATCTAATTCAAGCCCCTTCCTCCCTGGAAACAAAATGCTGACAAAATGCAGCTACTGGCCTTGAGTTGAGGGCAGGTTTTAACTGGAATGCCCTGAGAAAAACGAGCTGTGTTCTCCAGGAACTGCACATCCTTCCCAGAGATACCTGAGCCCTGCTGTGGCCTTGAGCTATGAAGGTCTGTCCCACAAGCCAGGAGCTCGCCCTCCTCACCCAGACATCATGCTGGGTACTGTAAAAGGAAATATTTCTGACAAACTATGAGTTAAGACTGAAATGGTGCCCACAGCAACCCCTGCGATAAAGACACAACCATACCATAGTAGAGGCCAAAGACAGTGGCTGCTGCTGTAAAGGAGCCCAAGAACTGGCCGATGAGGTAAGCTGGGAGCTTTCTCCAGGGGAGGTTTCCTAAAATGCAGTGTGTGAAGGTGATGGCAGCATTCAGATGAGCTCCTGCAAAATCACGGCAAAACAGAGTGGACTTAACCCTGATGCAGCTGTTTTGGAGCACGCCCCACGCCCCACAGTAACCACCCAGACCTTGCTCCACACCACCAAGACTCTCCCAGGGCAGGGTCTCCCTCCTGCACAGACTCAGAACTGACCCATTTTCCCTGGGCATGTGAATGATTCAGGGCAGAAAGGTCCTAGCTTTGGTCCTCTAAAAATTAGACAACCTCTGCTTTGCTCTCTGCAGACCACAGGCTGCCTCAGTCATCTCACTGGTCAGAGACACCTCCCTAGGCACAGCATAAGTTTCCTTCTGTATGGGCTTCTCTCTATTCAACTTAAAGGGAGCCCAGAACTTAGACTCACCACCCACCTTTTACATGGCTACAGGTTGATGAGGCAGGTTTTGTCCCAGACAATCTGATAGACAAGGAGGGCCTCATCCTGGCAGAGCTGAGCACCCCAGTGGATGGGAGCTGAGGGCCCTCAGCACATCTGGCAGGCAAGGCATGAGACGCTGAGGAAACAAACTGCAAAAGCAACCACCGATGCCTCATATCTTCATGTCTGCAAAGCAAATCCTACACAGGGCCATGGGCAGGGACCCAGGTGAGCTCTTAGATGTCACTGCTTGGAGAAGGGGCTACCGGGGTGGTCAGTCCTGGCCAGACTGACTGACTGGTTGCTTCCACTAGGGTAGAGCAGACCCTGTCCCTTCCTCACAGAGTTTTTAGTCTCGAACTGCATTTCCTTACATCTTTTAGTACATGGCTTTCATACAGTGCAAGACCAGTTTTCCGTTGTGAGGGGACGCTTTCTATGGAGGAGTTTGGGATCACAGTGGTGGTTTTGGAGAAAGACTAAGTGGCTCCAGGTTTGGCGCCCTCAGTGCAAACCACGTATGTTCTCCAGGCCTTATGTCCCCACGAGTCCAAAGGAAATATTTGCTTTTTCCTGCCTAGTAGGTGTAAACTTTGGGGGTTAGTAACTGCTCCATCCTCAGTGGCCTTTTTCTACTCCAGACTCAGAAAGGGGTAAGAGCCAGACACACATCACCTCCTCAAAGTACAGGACAGAGTGAAGTGAAAGTGCATGTACCGCCTGCTACAGTCCCACCACCACAACTGAAATGGAGGGAGAACCCTTTTTCTTCGATCCTCTGATCCTTTGCAGGCATGACCAGCCATTTCAGAGATCACAAGAAACATCTTCTGACACAAGTGAAGCCAAATCACAGTGCCAAGAAGCCCTGAAGCTGGCTCCAGAGCTAGCCTGTTGCTGGCTTAGCTGAGACCCCTCCTCCTACCTCCCAGCCCTCAGCAGATCAGCTCCATCTCAAATGTCAGCTGGGACTGCAGGGATCTTTCCTCAGCCCACTTTGCCCAGGATGTCTCCACCAGCTCCAAAAGGGCAGGGAGACCAAAAGCTGACCACTCGCATGGAAAAATTTTCCCTTCCAAGCCAGCCCCAGCCCTGGGCATCTCTCTGCTCCAACAGTTCAAGAACAAGGACTTGCTTTAATTTTCTGCCCTCTAGAGCTCTTAATCTCTTGGTGCAAATGAATGCATAGATTGCACAAGGCAAAGGTAATGTGCTGTCATGTGAGAGATACCACCCCATGGCCCTGAAAAACACCACCTTCTGAGTTCGCGTGGGACGTGTGTGCATGGGTGTGGATGATAAGGAGAACGTTTGCATACCATTCCTTGTTGCAACATCAGCAGTAAGCTATCCTTTGCAATAAATTATTTACTTCCCCATGGGTTAGATTGGCCCCATGTTTTAAAAACTCCTTGGGCCATGATGGCATATCCCAAGCACCTAACGGGGGCACTGCTGAAACCTGGCTCCAATGGCCACAATGGGAGGGGATGGCCGAACCTCCAACACTTTCCCTGTCCTGCTTGCCCCTGTCTCAGCTCAGGGCACATGTTTGGGGTCAGCATACTGTAGCTGTGCTGAGCCTGCCTTGTCCCCTGCTTCTCCTGATCTTGCCGCACTGTCACAACTCCTTGGCTTGACCTCAGACCTTCCCCTCCCACCCCCGCAGACTTGGCTGTGATTACAGGTCACAAGGCTGACCATGGTTACGGTCACCAGACCTGCTGATCTTCTTGCTTGGGGACCCTAGGACTGCCTTTTTTTCTGGTGAGAGCACTGCCCTGCTTTGCCGTGCCATCACCCACCCCTCCACAGCACGCTCCTGCTGCCTCCCACACATGTGGCCTTTGCGGGACATAGAGATGTCTTGTGCTCAAGCGTCCTGCTCACCAGAGATTCCTCCAGCCGCATGGATGCCCAGGGTAACACCAATGCCAAATCCCAAATTGATACTCAGATGCTGCCCAAATTCTCCTCTTCCTAATACCACTTGCGCCACAGAAGACAAGCCAAAGACCTAGTGCATGGAAAAAGAGAAAGGAGTGTTAAAAGTAGTGTTGTTGCTGTGGTGAACTGAGCTTCTTTGCTACTTTTTCTGCAATACTAGTAACTTTCCAAAGACACAAAGACGCTAAGGTCTTTGGCCCATGGTCAGGAGATGAAGAGAGAATCATCCTCCTCTCCAAAAATTAGAAGGCTAACCAGATTATTCCTTATTGGTGACCATCGCACTGAACTAGACACTCTGGTCTGGGTTGGGTACAAGGGAGACAAACCCCAGGCACCCACGGCAAGCTCCTGGGCTTGGTCGGGATCCCTCACACTGCCATGGCAAGGGCATCTGTGCCTGAAGCCAGGGACGTGAGCCAGGGGACTGTCACCACAGACTGCCACGGAGGCAGTGCCCAAGCCAGATGGAAGGAAGGTTGACAAATTCTTGTTGCCTTTCTTTTCCCAGTGTGAAATTTATTGACTAAAAATGTAGTTTTGGGCAGCACGTAGCCAAAGTCCACTTTAATTTTGGTAACTTATTCCAGAAAAAAACAAGGAAGGAAATCCTGGTTTGACTTTTCATTTCAACACATATACATTCAGTTTGAAAACAGACAAAGTTTCAATATTTTTTTAGTGACTACAGGGGAACTGGGAAAAAAATTAAAAAGAAAAGTAAACACTCTCTAGTGGAAAAGTCATATTCAAGAAATTGCTCTAGCTTGAAAGTAAATTCTACTTAACTTTTTTAATGTGGCCAGAGGGTGGAAAAATCAGTTCTTTGAGCAGCTCTTACACTGAAATCTGGAGGACAAAGCTTCTCTTGAGGTCTCTGCCTCGCAAACCACTTAGGGTTTTGGAGATTGTATCCTGCTCCTTGGACTGCACTGATGTTTATCCAGGGTGACATGTCCCTCCAAGACAAAACAGTCAGTGTGTTCTCCAGCATCTAAACTGCTCTGGCCTGTCCTGTTTTGACTTGGATCTTTCTGGCTGCTCTGCCTAGATCCAAATTTTATCTCATGCATCTACTCTCCCTTTTCCCTTCCAGACATCACTGAAATCCCCTGTTCCCCAGAGACACTGTTCTTATCTCTCTTGTATACACAGACCACAGTCTGTGCTCTGCATGGAGCTACAGCCTGCGTGGTATGAGCCCTTCTCTCAGCAAAAGCCCCAAAAAGCAGTGCCTGGGATGCCCCCCAGCATCTGCAATGCCCCTATAAAAACCTTCCCTACTCATCTCTGAGCTTTTCCAAAGCCGGATCCAAGAGAAGCCAAATGCATAAAGCACAGGTTTTTCAGGACAGAGGTGCAGGGCAGGAGACATGGCTGTTGCAGCTGAACAGCACTATCCTCAGAAAAACACAGGACAGGCCAGAGAATCTGCTTTTCAGCACAGATCCAAATGTCTGGTCTCTTCTTCTATTCTCACAGTCCCAAAATAGCCTCTTTGTTTCCTACCTCCCTACTCCTTTTCCTGTTTACTCCCACTGCCTGGTTCCCTCTTTTACGAACATTACCTGTCCATTAAAGCAAGAATGCTATCATCCAAAAAACAGCCATCCAGGCTCCCTGGAGATGCATCCAGCACATTCCAGTGGCAGTAAGAGCCAGGGGGCTGCTAAAGAGTTGGATGCTGGATGCTATGTTCGGATGCTGGATGCTGTTTGCAGCCAGGCCTTGATGGGGGTCTGTGTGCAGTGTCCCTCCTCCTCCCCTATTCCCTCGTGGAGATCAGTGAGGGAAGAGCCAACTGAAGCTGCAGGCTCCAAAATCTGCCTTGGACTGTCAGAGTTCACACAAAAGTCTCCTTCTCATGCTGCTGCCCAGAGACAGCCCTGGCAGGACACCCCTGAACTTGATCCTTATTACCTGGAAACTTCCACCACCAAAAAACAAAGGGAATGGAAAAGGAAAATGGTTTGCTCAGCTCCTGCTGAGGAGTCACAGATGCCTATACTCTGACTCCCATTGCATGCAAAACTACCTGTGAGGTCGGGAGTGAACTTCAAGGAGCTGGATGTGCCATAAGATGCAACAAAAAGCAAGCACCCTCTGCACGTGCAGTTGTTCCGCTTGAAAATACGCATCTTTATCTGAACAGACAGCTGTGTCAAAAGGTCCTTATGCTTACACAGATATCGTCCTCCTGCGCAAATCTCCAAGTACAAGTTATTTGGGTTATCCCCAGCCCTTCCATGTTAGCCGCTGTCCGGTCCAAAGCATCTCTCTCAGCCCAGCAGCGCTTGCAAGCTAAGTCCAGGGGTAGTTAGTTGGCACAGACAGCTACTGGACCTTTTCAGAGGGAGGATCTCATTTTTTTGTCTTGGTCCAACACACAAAGGCTCTGGTTCTGGTGGGCACCTCACCCTCACCAGGGATCAATTCTGACTGCAAAGCCTTCCTCTCCCCAAACGCCTCCAAAGCAGCCCGAGAGCGCGAAACTGCTTCGATTTCTCTGCGTGAAACAGATCCTTTGGGCAACGGGGGAGTTTCTGTATCATTTGGATAAGCCCAATTAATTTGCCGGAATAAGAAAAACAAACGTGAAATCCTGGCATGCTTTACATGCAGTAATTACATTTCTTAATTGTGGGTTGTGGCTCCAGAGTTTCACAGGCGTTCATTACCCTGGCAACCCCATGAGGAAGATGAATGCATGCTATGCTCATTTCAGCAAGGCTGTTGGTGGTAGAGGAGTCAGGGCCTGCTTCCCAAACCTGTGCAGGACCCCCCCAGCCACAACATCACCTCTGGCACAGGAGAAAGAAAAGCCTCAATTCACTGTATGGCATCTTTCAGGGGGTTTGGCACAAGCATTGCGTTGCCCTGTCTGACCAGACACCACTCTTTGGTTTCATTGCCAGACCCTTCCTTGTTTCTCTCCTGGAATAGAACTGAAGGAGCGGCTCATCCCCACCTGCTTCACCCTCTCCCGGCACTCACCTCCCACCCTCCACATTGCTTTTTTCCTCCAGAAGGTTTTTTCCTCCAGATGGTCTACCTGATGGGAAGCTGGCACCCCACCAAAGCAGAGGGGTGAGCGGTAGCAAGCAGCTGCTGAGCAACCATGAGGATGTGGTAGGAAACCACTGATGTTACAAATTGCTGCTGCAGATGCTTACCCCCTCACCTGCACATGCACACACACAGACACACACGCCTGGGCCCGTCTCCTCCTTACCATGAGGATGAACATCCCCAGTGCTTCTGCCAGCAGCTCCCTGACGGTGCTGCTGCGAATCGTGAGCGCCTTCTGAAACTTCTCAAGCATTTTGCTCTCCGTCTCCAGCCTGCAGCCACGGGAGCTCCTGTTGTGACAGCACACTTCATTGCGCTGAGCTAAGTTGCCCTTTGAAACTTGGCACCCTCCCTTCACCCCCCAGACACCTTCATTCATTTGGTTAACAATGAACAAGCCAATAAGGTAACAGCTAGCTTGAAAGTCTTCCCACACACACATGCCATCTTTTTAAAACGGTATGGTAAGGATGCAATACTTCTGCTACCGGGGCATTGCAAACACTGTGCCTCTGCCCAGGAGCAACCTATCTCCAGAGCGGTGGAGCTGTGGATAGCCTTCGTGTGCTCCTAAAGCCTGTCTTTCTCCCTAACCTTTTCCACAGGAACTGAACAGGAAGTTTGTTTCTGCTATGTGTTGTAACTCACTGGCTGGTGGTGTGGAGACATTTTTTTTTGTTAACAGGTAGGATTAGGACCATTTGCCTGTGCTTTGCAGGACTATTTGGATGCCCAGCCTGCAGTGAGGATGCTCTGCCTGGAGCTGATGTGCCCACTGCCTGCAGCTGGGCAGAGCGCCATGCCTTGGGCATTGCTTCGGGTTGAATATTTGCTTTTGCAGAATTGCACCTGTGTCCACAGCTCCCCTGACACTAGTGGAGAGCCTCCCCACCACCCTCCAGTCTGTCCTCTTGCATGGAGCAAGGAGAGACCAGTCTTGGCAATGGTCTCTAGAGACCTTCAATCTCATCTGGTGGCCAGAGCAGAGCCCTCACTGCCCTGATTCCTCTTCCACCTCCTGATTCCCTCTGCTCATCTCCCTGCTCACCAGGTGCTCTTACCTCTCCTCTGTGGAAATGTTTCAATACCTTTGCCTAACTACTGAAAAACTTAAACCCACTGAACACTCACAACATTTTTCTGCAAGCCTTGCCTGGTTCTTTGTGGGTTTTCTTCACCTTCCTCTCAACCCGCTGCAGCTTCTCAGCGTGGCTCTGGGTGGGACATGGTGCACAGCCCTGGGGAGGTCACCAGCAGCTGCCCCGAGGGGACGCAGCGCTCTGCTCACACTGGCCCCCGTCTTGCCTCTCTCTGCACTACTGCAATGCAAAAGTTCAGGAGCTTTTCTTTCACTCAGAGGACACTGAGCAGCTGTCTGGAATAACCTGGGAAGATGTTTCTCCTCTCTTCCATAGATTATTGTTTACCTGGTGGCAGGGAAGGGTTTAATGGACTGGGTTAAGCCCTCCTCCAGAGACAGATTAGCTATTGACCTCAGTGAACACCTGGCTAAATACGCAGTAATTTACTAGTCTGTCTCTGATACTAAGGACCATCTAATTGTGACAGATGATGATCACACTGCTGGCAAGGGTGTTCCTGCAGCATTTCTCTAGGTGGGAAAGTTTTTTTGTCCTGTGAATCTGTAAGTCATGCTGTGGCACAGAAAAAGTGGCTGATAAATCTTTCCAGGTCACTTCATTCTCTGACATGCAAATGCCTATTGGTGGAGCACACAAACATGGGCATTCGAGCACCAGGTCAGGGTGGGGGCAAGAGCCTCAAGTTTCTTCTAGACATGGTAATTTCCAGCTGGCATGGTCCTGGCACCAGCGGGTTTTGGAGATCTCACAGCCTTCCTCAGATGGGCAAGGTGTGAGTGGGTCAGTATCCCCCACAACTGGACCTACAACTTCATTTTTCACCCCTAGATCTCAGGGAGCCTTCCAAGTGGATTACTCCCCTGCAGGCAAACAAGAAAGTTGTCCTGTCTCTGAAAAGCTTTGTCTCCTACATTCAGGCTTTAACTACAGGCATCTCCATATTCTAATTTGGGCTGAAAAATTGACAGGTATATTCTGGGAACACCAAGCTCCCATCAACTTGCAGTCTTCTCAGGGAAAAAGGCAATCCCAGTGTGCAATAGAGATCTTTGGTTTGGTGATAATATTTGCAGCATAATCCCTGATATTACCACCAAATTCCATAAAACTCCATCATGCTTCTAGAACAGCATCATAGATCACTGGATGTGCCTCTTGCCGCTGCTTGTCCTTTTACACAGATCGTTCCACAAGATGGCACTGAGACATTAATTTCTCCCTTAAAAGTGTTCAGATGGGTTCCTCTGCTGGCCGCTGAAAATGTGAGAACGCTTCCATTTTAGGGCTGCTCTGGGCATTTTTATACATTAAAGAAAGGTGGTCTGCCAAGTTCAAGGACTGTAACAACAACAAAAAAGACCTTTCCGTGAGCCCTATGGGGCAGAGCGCCACAGCTCTGACAGCACGCAAATCTGAAGTGTCTGAGGCTGCCCCTGTCCCCCTTTCCTTTATAATCAGCAGAGAAAAACAGGCAGCCCCAAAGGGCAGTTCGTCCCCATCTAGAATAAGCATCTGAGGCCAGACCTATGAGTCACGCTGGATGCTGGCAGTTTCCCTCCAGTGTCTGTACCAGGAGGTGCACACCTACGTGGAGGCATCTATCACCAGGTCAGCTGGGCTGCCCTTCCTCCCTGCATCCAGATGTGGTGAGCTTGAGTGAGTGCAAACTACCATGTGAATCAGCCAAGGGCTGGAGCGCAAAGATCTGCCAGTTGCCCAGCATGACCTATTGTTATGCTCAATCCCACGCCAGAGCAGGTACATTGCGAAGTGTCTGCAGCTGTGGTTGTGTCTGTGCCGCAGCAGATACGCCTCTGAAGGGATTGTGGGCCAAGGATAAGTCTACACTTGTAGAAGGTATCCTTGGAAGCATCTGTGGTCATGGATAAGCCCATGCTGCAGCAAGTACACCTTGAAACATCAGTGGCTGTGTTTGAGGTTATGCTGGAGCACCTGGAAGCATGTGGCCATGGATAAGTCCACAACAGAGCAGGTACAACCCTGGAGGGACTGCAGCCATATTTGTGTGGTTTCACTTACCTACAGGGCTGACCAGGACTTCTGGGGTCACCAAATACAGTCCCCTACTGGCATAAGCAGCCACACCACAATCCTTTCATGACCAGGCCACTCTCCATTTTAGGGGTAAGTGGGTTTTGCCCCAAATCCTCATGCTGAAAGCCTGTTACCAGAACTTGATGCTCTGGAGATCAGAGACTTTCTTTTAATTTCCAGCCAAATTCTCAAAGCCGTTTGTTCGCGTGCCAGCATTACCCCATCACAGGCATGAGTTAATTCATTTCTTACAGGTGTTATGCCATAAAGTTTTCCTGTAAGGTTTCTTAGAAGAGCGCTACCTTCTCACCCTTAGCTTTGCACTGCCTCCTGATGTTTACCTTGACTTGCTCACAGGTTGAAACTTCACTCAACATTGACCCTACAACGATTTTACCGTATTTTCCACCACACATTAAGCAACCACCTGCTAAAGCAAACCTGTCTCTTCCCTAAGGCAGGTGCACTTTCAGCACTAGTAATAAAGGCCTCAGCTTGGAGAGGAAAATTCTGGCAGTCAAGGCCCACTAACTGTGCTGGTGTTGATACCCACGGTACTGAAGAGCCAGGGGAACAACCCCCCTGGGTCCTGCTGGAGCAGCCCCGGGAAGGATGAGCACCCAGAGACTCCAGGGCAGTCATGCTTCTGCAAGGAATAACTTCTCTCACTCAGTCTGACAGCACGCATGTTTCCTCTGCACCCAGGAGCTCATTTATCTCTTAATTACGCTAATCAACAGCTGGAATGTTGCCACTCCATTAGCTTCAGCCCTGCTGGTGGAGCATTAACTTCTCCCCAGAGGATGGGAGGAGTGTGAGCGGACAGCACAGCGGAGGAGCTCCTCACCGTGGATGAGGATGGCTTGCTCCTCCACCAGACCGAATGAACGTGGCACCCAAGAAATCTCCAGGCCCCTTTAGGAAGCGAGGCCAGATCAGAGAGACTAGTACAGCACTGGTATGACCTTATCTGTCCAGGACAGACCCCGCTTGATGTACTCTATAGCACCCACACCCCGTGGTTTTACATCTAACACTCATGGTCTATCTCCTCCTCGCCTTTATGGATGGCAGGCACTGAGAGAGTCACAGACGCCCCAGATATTTGTCTCTCAGCAGATGGCTTTGCTCTTCCTAGTGTTACCCAGCTCCCTGTTCCCAGGACTCCATCCTCCATGGCCTTTCAGTTCACCCTGCACACCACCACCCCTGGCCCTGAAGCTGGCCAAAGGCATGTCACCCACACCAGCTCCTTTCCAGTGAAACCAGGCTAGCACTTACCATTCCAGGCAGAAGTGGGAGCTGGAGGGACCAACAGGGGGATGTGGTGGCATGATGGTGGGATCCTGCCCTGTTTCACAGCACTCCGCTTTGTTCCTGAGGGCCATGGTTCCTCCCGGCCCCAGACGGCTAAATCTTGCTCAGCCAGAGGTAATCCACGACGTGGTGGTGTCAGCAGGAGGGGAATTACATGGCTTTTATTGGGCTTTAGTGGGAGAGCAGGGCTATCCAAGAGGGGATCACCTGGGGCAGTGCTGGCCCCATTGTTGGGCAACAGAGCAGAGGGCACCTGGGTTCCCCTGGCCAGGGACCTACCCCCACCCCCGGCTGGGCCACCCTCCCCTCCTGCCCTCTGCCTGGCTTTCCAGACGGCATCGGGTCATTTTTACATGCAGCAAAAGGTGACGGTTTCTGAGGCAGCTCACTGGCTTCCAGCTGGGCAAAGTCCTGGAAAGCCTCCCTCGTGCACGTTTATAGGGCATTCAACAGAGAGAGAAACAGAGGCAGAGGGGCACCTCAGGTCCCACAAGAGACTTGGGGTACCTGTGGGATTTCCACCAAGGCCCTGCCAGCTCCTTGCCTGCTGTTATCCCCCATCCCCTGCCCCATCCCTGACCCATGAGCATCTTGTTCTCCTGACCTGCTCAGGGCCAGTCTCCCACCGCGCCCCTGTCTGGGGGAGCATCCCCTACCTACCCCCCACTGTGGCACTCCCCCAGGCCCAGAGAGAGAGAAGTGGGCTCTGCAGATGCCAGTGCTCCCACCACGCTTCGAGCTGCCTGCTTAGGTCTGCTTTCAATCCGCAGATAAGGCAAAAGCCAGGGAAACCACAGGGCTCACAGGACATCGTCACCCTGGAGATAAGAGAAGTCAGGCTTTCTCCTGGAGGAGTGTGAATACCAGCACTCTGAAAGGAGAGATTAAAGGGGAGAGGCTGCAGGCTGGGGGGAGGTCACTGGCTGAGCAAAATGAGATCCTGAAGCTGCAGAGTCTGGTGGAGCCAGCACGCTGATCTGAACATTTCCCTGCCTCTGACCACACCCAAGAGACAGCAGAGCAGCTGTGTCCTCCCCTCGGGACTCAACAAGTTCGCTCTTACAGATGGTACCACCAACAAAACACCTCATGCTTCAGTTCATGCCACCTCCTTTGCCTTATTCCTCCCCTAGATGTTCTGGTCCCAGAGAGCCTGCAGGACCCACCAGCCCAACATCCCCCTAAGCAGCACCAAAAAGGCATGAACCTGTGATAACAGACCCCAAGAGCAAAACCAGAGCAGGGGGTGATGGCATGAACACAGCCATGCCTGCTCCCTCTGCGCTGCTAGAGCAATGCTGAGGCAACAGTCATAGAATCATAGAATCGCTTTGGTTGGAAAAGACCTTTAAGACCATCAAGTCCAACCTTTAACCTAACCCTGACCTCCCACCACTAAACCATGTCCCTAAGTACCTCATCTATCCTTCTTTCAGTCAATACCATCCTTCATGGCCACCAGATGTTTGAGGGTGGGCTGCATGCAGACAGGCCACTCGCATAAGCAGCACCAATAAACACGTCAGGAGATGGTGCTAAACCCGTAGGCAGACCATCTTCACTGCTAGCTGTGAAACGGATAATTTGTGGGGTGAGGAACCAGCTGGTGGCACTAATCATTGCCCATACTCATGATCCGTGAATTACCCAAACCGCAGCGGTCAGCCAAACAACCGAGTTCTCTCATGTCGAACTTGCCATGGGGTGTCGAGAGACCATCCAGCGCCAGCATGACTGATGCCAGCGGTGAGCAATGACTGCCGCACAGCATTTGTCCTTACTCTGTCCACAGGGGAGGGAAAGGCTGGGATGCCGGTGGCCAGGTCAGCTTTCTCAGAGCCAGCCCAGCCCAGAGGGCTGCTGCTGGCATGGACTTGAAGGCACCTGAAGGAAACCCCTGATAAGGTCCAGCTATCACAGTGGGGAGGAGACGCCATGGATTCCTTGCAGACACATACACAAATCCCCTTGGCAGCTGCACAGCCTCTCCCAGGGCCCCAGGGAGCCCTGCAGGCATTTCAGTGGGGGTAGAGATTTGATCCAGCATGGGCCAGACCCCATCACCCTCCTGGCCCCCCCAGCCCCTTTGGCTTCTCCTGTGCTGTTTTGGGAGACAGGAAAAAGGGGCTATGTATGTTGGATCTGGGTGGCTCGCTGGTCATTCCATCCTATCAGTTCCTAAGTGGAAAGCCATTGCCTTAGAGAAACCTACAGAAGCTGAAAATCCGTCTGTTGGTGTTGCCTGGACAAGAGGCCATTCTCCTTGCTCATGTAGTTTCCCAGCACAAGTCCTGCATGACAGCAGTGGCAGCTTCACAAATCAGCCCATATTAAGTGAAGCACCAACATGCAGTTTATTTCCCAAAGCCCAGGGCACCACACACCAACCATCACTGGCAGTGCAGATATTCCTAAGCCACGGCAAATACTAAATATTGTTGCTGGTCTTTCTTGTCCCTATGTGTCCTGGTTTCAGCTGGGACAGAGTTAATTTTCTTCCTAGTAGCTGGTATAGAGCTGAGGTTTGGATTCAGTACTAGAAGAATGTTGATAACATCTTGATGTTTTAGTTGTTGCTGAGCAGTGCTTACACTGGCCAAGGCCTTCTCAGCTCTCAGCTCCACCAGGGACACAAGAAGCTGGGAGGGGGCACAGCCAGGACAGCTGACCCCAACTGGCCCAAGGGCTATTCCAAACCATAGGGCATCATGCTCAGTATATAAGATGGGGGAAGAAGAAAGAAGAGGGGGATGTTCGGAGCAATGGTGTTTGTCTTCCCAAGTCACCATTGCACATGATGGAGCCCTGCTTTCCTGGAGATGGCTGAGCCCCTGCCTGCCCATGGGAAGTGGTGAATGAATTCCTTGTTTTGCTTTGCTTGCATGCGCAGCTTTTGGTTTACTTTTGCCCCACTCCTGGTACCACATTAAACTCTTTATCTCAACCCATGAGTTTTCTCACTTTTACTCTTCTGATTCTCTCCCCTGTCCCATTGTGCAGGGAGTGAGCGAGTGGCTGGGTGGTGCCTAGTTGCCAGCTGGGGTTAAACCGTGACACTATGTTTGTTTTTACAGAGGCACAGACACACACATCCGTATCAGCCATTTCCTAGTGAAGAAGTAACTGTTGCATAGCACCGTCTCCATTTGACTTCACAGGAACATCCTCAGGGTCAAAATATCAACTTATAATCTCATGAGAATGGCAGAGGTTCTGTCCCCCGCTCCCAATGTGAGCCAGTTAGAGCTCTCTGGAACCGCCTCAGGGTGTATTTGCACAGGACCTGACGCAATGAGCCTCTTATCACAACACAGCCTCCAGGCTCTGCCACAGGAGCAACACACACACAGGTCACAACAGGCCTGTGAGGCTATAGATACCAATTCTTGCACCCTAAATGTTCATGCATGTGTCAAACTATAGCAGGAGGCACAGCAAGTGCCTGGCTGGACTTCTCATCTACAGGAGCAGCCAGTCCAGTTGGTAGAGTCTACCAATTGTTGCTTTGCTCACCTGGCTTTGCTCACCCTGAGTCTACCGAACAATAAGCTCAATCTGCTTTTCATGCACTGGGGTGTGTAGTTCATCTCTACAAGTCCTACACACAGAATGCTGAGGGTTCTAAAAAGGGATCTAAAGATGGAGGTAAAACTCCACCATTAGTTATGAAACATGGATACCCCTCTATCACAAGTGGTGCCTGAGCTGTGAATTGTTGGAGATTGTAAAGTATTTCTGGGGAAATACATTTATTTTGTTCACACACTCTTCCCCCATCACAGCTAGGATCTCCTCCATGGGTCCAGCCCATCTCAGTGACCACGGCCTGGCTGACTGCGGTATCCAGTGGAATAGGATGCCCACCACTTCAGTCACAGGAACAGAAGACTAGAAGCCTCTAGAAGCATGTCCTTGAATTGCTCAGTTGTCCTGAGATGACATGAGGACACTTGAAATATATTCACAGCTCTGCTGCTCACCAGTGTGTCCTGAACAGCTGCTCTTCCTCCCTGCCCAGTATCCCCTCCACAGGGGGTGAACACAGCACCTCATTCAGAAGCAGCTTGGGGTGGGCAGAGAAGACATTTACAAATGTTCGCAGCATGCTGCGTGACCCTTGCTAAAACACTTGCCCCAGCTTAGTGCTGAAAGTTCCATCAGCTCCTGAGTCATCCTAAATCATACACCTTCTCGTTGCTCTCCTTCTCTGTGCAATGCAGATGGCAACCTCTCCCAGTCCCAGAACAGCCAAGGACATATGTGTCTCAGCTTCCACTTCACCACTGGTGAGGTCAGTGGTCAGAAAAGCAGGTTGAAACGTCCTCCACATGCACTACAGGTCAAGCCGGCAGAACAGCTCCCTCTGCTTACCAGAGCACTTACTGTAATGCCCACAGCCGTGCAGCAATTCAATGGCATTTTAGATACAGTAAAGGCTTTAGAAGAGGGAGAGCTATTGTACCGTGGTGGAGTCTTCCTTCTCCTTCCCCCCAGGAGCCGGAGGAAGCCACATCACATGCGTCATTTAAAAGCAGACTAGAAGCAAAAGGCACTTGAAAACTCGCCATGGGGAACAATTGTGCCGAGCTTTAGGGCAGTAAATAACTGACTTTGTCTTGTTCATCTCGTATTTTATTGCCTCTGCTGTTTGTACAGTGCTTCATGGGAGAAAGCGAGCTAACAGAGCAGAGAGCCTGCTTGCTGCTCCCCTGCCTCCTCCTCTGCACAGGCACTATCTCCCCCCCTGCATCTCTCCTCCTGCACTTGTCTCTTCTACACAGCCCTGTGAGATGGCAGCTTTGGATGCGGCACCACCACACTACAGTCACACAGCACTGTCAGCAAGGGCTTGGAGGAGAAAAGGCCGTGCCAGAGCTGTGGGGGTGTTGCAGGACCCCGCTGGGCTCCCTCCACTGTGCCCAGGTTGAGGGCTTGCACCTTACTCCCTCCTGGTCAGTCTGGTCCCTGATCAACGTGCAAGCTGTGGTCTGGGGAAAGGAGTCTGCGAGCAGGGCCTCGCTCCCTTGCAAGTGCCATGGGGTTTGCCATGTCGCATCCAACCACCCATTCCCTTGTGCTGGTGGTGCCTGGAAATTTAGGTTGTGAACAAAATCCCCTGAACTCACAAGACCTCTCTTAAGCCCACACCAGCAGCCACCTTAGAAGAAGCAAAGGGAAAATCTTACAGCCAACAATTTTGTGGGATACAGCAAGTTTGTTGTGTGTAGCCACAGGGCTTTAGAGGGAAATTAGATGCCTAGCTTCATAACGATCTTCTTGGACTGCAG